CAGCACGGATCGGAGAAACGACTGTGTGCCGTCGCTGAAGGAACGTAGTCGAGAGAGAGAGAGAGAGAGAGAGAGAGAGAGAGAGAGAGAGAGAGAGAGAGAGAGAGAGAGAGAGAGAGAGAGAGAGAGAGAGAGAGAGAGAGAGAGAGAGAGAGAGAGAGAGAGAGAGAGAGAGAGAGAGAGAGAGAGAGAGAGAGAGAGAGAGAGAGAGAGAGAGAGAGAGAGAGAGAGAGAGAGAGAGAGAGAGAGAGAGAGAGAGAGAGAGAGAGAGAGTAAGTTACATTTATAAAGACAGGTAAGTCTAACAAATGAGGACTGAGACCTCTACAACAGGGTTTTTACGCCTGAAAGCAGGTGCATGATTTAACAAGCAGGTTGTCAGTCTAGATTTTATGCGCAGATGGAGAAAAAGCGCAGAATTTTTGTAATGAGATGAAAAGCAGAAATAATAAGAAATAATAAGAAAAGATGAAATGAAAGCCTGCTCACAACCCCGCCCAGCCTTGCGAACTGGGTATGGTGGATTAAGAACCCGGTTCAACGCTCGAGCAAGCGCTCTCCACTCAAGGTGTTCACAGCAACTGATAGGAACTCATATGGGGAAATTATAGAAAAGAAATAATAAGATAAAGAGAATAAATTTCAACGCACCTCAATAAACGGAGCCCCACATACAGTACCTCAGAAAAGTGGATCTTCCGACCAGTGTTTTTGTTGACGCCGCAACCAGATGATGTAGCTGCTTCGCAGAGACGTCTTACTGCACAAATTACAAATAAATTTTATTCTTCGATTAGAAAATCCAAGCGCTTTCAGAGCCCTCCGAAGAGAGTCCGGGATGAAACCACGCACACCTACCTCAACCGAAAAAGAAAACGACCTGCCACCCGTTTGCTCGGCATTGATCGGCCAGATCCGCATACCGCCTGTCCTTCCGCGAGTTACTGACACTGAATCTGTCCTCAGCACAAACTGTCAACTCCATCCAGAATACAATCCTACGACTCGTAGAGTACAGAACTATATCTGGTCTGAGGGTGGTAAGTGCAACACAGCTAGGGAAAGAAATCTTTGCACTAACTGAGTCGACAAGAAGTTTCCAGTCTGAGGCCGCTGACAGGAGATCAGTCGTAACCAACTTTCGTCTGGGCTGCAAGCTCATTTGAATTTCCGGTTTGTACGGTGTTTGCAGCAGTGCGGATTCGAATCTCCTCACGCATGTTCCTGACGATGACCCCGAGTACGTTGTCGTGCCTCCAGGTGTAACGTCCCTGGTCCAGCGCTACGCGACAAGCGCCAAGCACGTGGCGCGTAGTACAGGCCCAGGTACGGCACAAACTACAGTATGGATCCACTACGGTGTTTCCCCAACGGCGTAGGTTCGTCGGAGAAGGTAGCACGTCGAGGGTTGATGCGAGAAGAAATTTCAAATCCTTACCAGTACCACCGTACAAAAGGGATTTCCACGAGAGGTCCTGCCACATCACCGATGTCCACTCCAACCACTTGCCTTGCACCTGAAGAGTCTTCAGCCTCAAAATCTGCTCCTGCGCGTTGATCTCCTCAAATGTTTGAAGGAGATCCTTCCTCGGGGGTTTGGAATGCTGCTTCGGAGCACGAGCACCCAACCCTGCACGATGACTTGAAGATGACGGTGGACGGAGAGTCCCTGAACCTACTGATGCCTCTGCACACTCCAGCTCTATTGTCGCCGCATATCGCTTTGTCAGCTTCGCATCCTTACTCCGACGCAGAGTGTACAGCGCCCTCATGCGCGCGTCCCCACTCGATCGAAGAATGTGCCATTTGATGGACTGGCACTTTTTCCACACCGTAGGAAGGTAGTGGAGGCGTAAGCCAAAGCGTTTGCGACTGCCAATAAAAAGAATGGCAGAGTTTGCGCATCGAGGTAGGCCTGACCATTTCTTCAGAAATGGTAAACACATAAAGTGCAGTTCACGTACAAAACCTTGTGTGAGTTCAAGAACCTGGAAAGACCAAGAAAGCTTGGGCACTACAAGATGGTGGTAAAGCCATAGCTTGTGGTGGTCTTGAAGCCAAGAGCCATCTACTTTTTGCATGAGAGATACAGTGAGTTGACGGATGTCTTCCCGCTGGGTCTGCTCAGAGCAATCAGCATGCAGCCTTCGCCCCAGGAACTTGAACTCTGCAGTGTCAATGAAAGCGATCTTCCTCCCTGACATTGTCAGGCAGGGATCGTAAGGTTTGTACCGGCCATCTACAAGCTTTGCTGCACTGCTTTTGCATTTGTGCGGCGCCGCCTGCATACATTGGGTCCACGAGAGAAAGTCCTCCGTGACCGCAATGAGTTTTTGACAACCTGCACTAGATTTGCTATAGAGGCCTAAGTCATCAGCAAAAGCTGTTTGGGACACTTGCAAAGGGGCAGATTTAAAATCATAGGAGAGGCAACTTAATTCAGGGGCTGCAAGTGAGTCCAGCAGAAGCTGGAAACAAATATTGAAAAGGACCGGGGACAAGGGGCACCCCTGGAAAACACCAATGTTGTAATTAAAGGTGGGGGTGTGTGGTTGTACGACGAAAGCGCAAAGACTGTCGTAGTAGGAAAAAATTAATTTCCTGAATTGCAAAGGAAGGCTGTAGTGGGTTAGAGCATACTGTATCAGATTGTGGCGCACTGAACCAAATGCATTCTTCAAATCTATCCACGCAATGCAAATTTGGCGTTTTGCCGTCTTTGCATCACGCATCGCCTCATAACAAAGTGATGTATGCTCTAAGCACCCAGCCTTTGCAGGCATAAATCCTTTCTGGTTGTCACCATCGAAGAACTTATTGCCTAGCATATGTTTCAAGAGGCGCTTTGCAACTAAGGTGAAAAAGATCTTCCCGGACGTGTTCGCTAGAGCAATCGGTCGGAATTTCGAAGGATCATCAGACACCTCCCCCTTGGCCAGGAGTGTGATACACGCTACCTGCCACTGCCTTGGAATGATCTTGCTCTCCCAAACCCGCCCAAAGATGGTGAAAAGAATGGATTGAAGGGAGGGACAAAGCTTCCAAACTATGTAAGGTATCTTGTCAGGACCCGGTGCAGAGGTGTTGCGACACTTCTTCAAAACATTCTGAAATTCAGTCCATGTAGGGGTCCCCTCATCGACTGGGTGGGTGCAATCCCGGGGCTTCCCTGCACTAGGGCAGGATTCGTACGAAGTGGCACGATCCTGGTCTGCATATGTGTGTTGGAAGTACTCAAAGCAGGTAGTGTCAGAGAAAGTGGGTTTGACATGGTTGGTTGGTTGAAACAATTTCTTTCCGAAGGCATATGGGTCCTTGAGAAAGGCATCCTGGTCCCTCTTGTTCCGGAGAGAGAGAGAGAGAGAGAGAGAGAGAGAGAGAGAGAGAGAGAGAGAGAGAGAGAGAGGATGAGACAATGCCTGCTGAAGAGCAGGGTATTATGAGTTCGGAATAGCCGCCGCCACCCGATACACGTAGGGAGTTAACAGGGCCATACACACTAATGCCATACACACTAATGCCATTGCACGCTGATCTCCAATGAATTATAGTATGCTAGCAATCCGTGCACTTTTGTGAATTAGCCGCCGCCACATGGTCACTAATTGCAGAATATTCAAATCATCACGTTAAAAACAGAAATCAGTACGGGAGAATGGAAGCAAAGCCTGAGACTGCAGTGCATGAGTAAGCTAAGGCACAGAAGAAGTCAAGAAATGGAAGGTAAGGGCCCGATGCAACTGAGAAGCAACAACAAAATTACGATCAGCGGGTTACTTGAGTTACTTGAGTGAATCATTCCTTCCTCAACTGACCGAGGACAACTGGAATGAGACTGGCAAATTGCACTTGACGGAATGCACACAATTACAATTGAAGACAAGTCCTGTCAACTAATAGTCTGGTAGTGGGTGCCGCTATGCAGCTGCTGCAGTGGTGGCCAACACGGCTAAGATAACCACCACCACCACCATCATCGCCTCCATCATGAGCACCGTGAATAAGCACTGGCAAAAACAGTAACCTGGGAATGGAAATGAATGGCAACGGCCAGCCTATGGCCACATTCGGTGTTTACGCCAGCTCTGTGGTTTTTTCTTCCGTAGCGGCTGCCTCGATGGGCTTTTTCATCGTGCCGTTCTGCGACTCTCCACCATTGTTAAGCTCATTCATCCTGTACGTGCCAGACTTGTCATCAACTTCTCTGGCTGGTGGCCCGACGAGGCTCAGCACGACCGGCAGAAGAATGAGCCCGTTTGCAAATGCCACAAGCACCATCACCACGTATGTGAGTGCATAGTAGCGTCTGAAGAACGGGAACTGGTTGGCGGAGAGCACGGAGAGAGCAATGATGGTGCTGAGTGCGCCGTTGATCATCGGCTGCAGCATCTCGTGCAGGGCAATCTTCATGCGCTGATTGCGGCTGCCCTGCGCGAGCAGGAATGCACGGGCGTAGTGGGCAGTGAACTCCACGGCCATGCCAATAGAGATGACCAGGTTGGCGATGGAGATGGCGTTGAGTTTGACGTCCATGGGACGCATGAGCCCGATCAGCTGAATATCAATCATCAAGATAATGAAGCAGACAATGATCGACAGCCAGGGGTTGAGCTGAAACAGGAAGGTGATGACGAAAACTCCAAGCAAGCCGTATCCAATTGCCTGAAGTCAGAGACGTGGCAAAGAAAACAAACATGAAGATCAGCAGAAATATAGAGAATGAACGCTTTTTAAGACAAGTAACACGTTCAACCCCCTCTCTAGGGTATCCGGAATGGCAAAACGGTTGAAATCCATGCTCCATAAGGGGGGGTGAGTGCTAGTTATAAGAGTTCGCTGGTTTCTCTGTCTCTGGCTATGACTTACCGAAATCAGAGTGATCTCAATATCAAAGTATTGCTCCCAGAAGTAGAATATGTAACCGATGGAAAACGTGCGGATGTCGTTGTTGTTGAAGGGATCAACCCTGCTGCGCACATCTGTGATAGCGTCCAGATACGTCTGGTGCTCGACCAGATTGTCAAAGTAGTAATTGGTGCGCGCAACCGTCAAGACTGCGTCGCGGTGCATGCACGGCACTCTCTCACCGGTCGCGTGGTGCTGGCAGTAGAGGTAGGGTGTCAGCAGAGTGCCGATCCTGGCGAACCAAATCGGGAAAAAGAAATTGTAGCAAAACGTGCTGTTGATGGGCACGTTGACGTTGGCGTCAGGGCAGTCAAACTGTGCCAGGGCCTGCTGCTGAAGGTTATAGAATGCCAGGATTGATGCCGTTGAGTTGGATAGGAAATTGAGATCGTGAAGACGAGTGCCCTGGACAATGTGGGGACTCGGCTCCAGTGCGTCGAGCAGGTCCAGCATACGCTGCTGTGCGTTGACGTCGCTGAACTGCCTGTCTCGTGCGATGAACAGTAGATTGGACTTCTGAATGGTGATGGTGGTTTCGGTTAGCCTCGCCAAATCTCTCTGGTAGGTGTCGCGCAGTGCAATGTCGCTGGTGCGCAGGCCCTGTTCCGTGTTGACAATGCCGTTCCATAGCATGACGGCGCAGAACGCGGTGAAAAGCAGAACGATGACGATCTTGGCAATTGTGTTGGAGAGGAGCGGCGCGTAGACCTTGTCGATGAATCTTGCCATCATCGTATTGGCCTCCTCAGGTGTGGAGCTCTTGTTGGCTTTAGACGCTTTCGTGAAGATCACGTCCATGCGATTGGCATGATTGCGCCGCATATCGTACACCATCAGGGGAACGAATATGAGAAACAGGAAGAGAAGATTGATCAGCACTGAGATCATCAGCACGAGCACCAGCTGGCGCACCGCCGCGATCGGTACTGGATAGATCAGGATGAACGCGGCGGCATTGGCAACCGACGTCAGACAGACGGACGGACCGGCCAGGCGCATCACAGCGCCCATGTTGTCCTTGACGCTGCGACTGCGGTCATTCAATGCCGTCATTGTGTGAGCCAGGACGAACATATCGTCAATGCCGAGTCCCAGCGATACAAACGGTGCTAGGTTGACGCTGATGCCGTTCAGCGTGACCTGCACGTACGAGGCGAACCCGATGCCGGCCGCACTGCTGATGGCGATGGTGGCCAGGCCAAACAATCCAAGGATGCCGTGTGAGTTCACCATGGCCAGCTCCAACTCCTCTCTGTTGCCTATCTTCAACAGCGCAGTGCCATAGTTGCCAAGCGAAATGAAAACCAACACTGCCATTACACCGTAGCTCAGGCCTAACAGTGATCCCTCAACCGAGCCAGCCTGTTCCAGAATATCGGTGAGTGAATTCCCAGTGGCAAAGTCGAAGCGTAGAGCAGAGAACATCTCACCTGCACCATACCCAGTACCTGCCTCCCGTTGGTAGAGCCTCAGCCAGTCATCCGTCAGCTTCTGATCAAACGCCCGCGCCAGATCCTCACGCCGCTCTTCACTTGTCCAACTGACAGACGGGTAACGCTCTTCAAGTTGATCCTGCCACACCGGGTTGTTATGGTGGTAGTCCTCCCAGCCAGAGCGTATCAGTGTGATGGCGGACAGGCTCAGGCTTGAGAATCCCGTGCCGGATACATTTTGCCGCTGGGGTCTGGCTATTCCCGACGAGTAGATCGACGTGCCCAGGAACGCACCGTTCCAAGCCTGGCAGCACTTTACCTGTCCGAAGATGCAAGCTGTCCGGCTGCCCCTCACGGCCGGGTTCAGCTGAGAGTTAGCCGCGTCGTTGATGTGTTCCACGATCTGACCTGGTGTCATCGTCTTGTAGCTGGGCCGCCAGTAGAACCCGATAGAGCTGAAGAACTGCGCTGCTCCCACCAGCTCAATGATGAGCGCCCGAACCTGCAGCGCTGGGTCCGCACTCGGTGCAACACCTGCCTGAGCCAACGCTGCTACACTCAAGCAAGTGGCGCCAATCGTGGTGTTTCCGACCGTGCCCCCATCTACAGCCCGGTTGAAGTCGAGATACAGCAGAAGCGGAGCAAGAACCGGGTCATTGCCGGCCGCCATACCAACACTGGTCAGGAGGATTCGTGTTGCCTGCTCCGCCAAGAGCTCCACGTCTGTCTGGTTGGTTGTCGCTGGCAAGAAATCGATAACATTAGCGACGAGGGGTGTAGTGACAGCCATTCGTAGCCGACCGCTGGTGTCGAACAAATCCAGAACGCCTATGGTCGGTGCAATCAGACTTCGCAGTGCCAATGTGACAGCAGTGACGAGTTCAGCTTGATTGCTTACGTTGGTTCTCGGCTCGAGGCAATCCACATTGCCAGTGCTGCTGGCAAACCAACACGGCACCAACTGACCACTGAGCACCAGCTGGGACACAGTCAGCGGCGGCAAACCGGGAACCTCCACCGGCGTGTTTGCTATCTGATTGTGAACGGTCGTGTACGTTGAGTTGACCGCCGTGGCCAGCGGAAATGCGATGTCGCCGAGCTCACGCAGCGCCGACGGCCAGTCGACCTCCTGACCTTCCCGGAAGCAATCCAGTGCACTGGCTCTGGAGCAGGGAAACTCGTCTATACCCCAGCCCTCCTCCACGGGAGTGTATGCTGCTGGAAGGGTTGGAAATTGAAGCCGTGCCGTCGGGTAGATGTATCGGGTGAATCCTGAGTCAGCCTGCATGCACTGGGCAAAACGCCAGTACAGGTCGGCGGAACTCTGGCTCCTCCGGAACGGGACGGGCACGACCGGCCTCTCACACACGTCATTGTAGCTGTAGACGTTGTTGTCGTAGGTGAACGTCACATTCGCCCAAACGGCCATGGACTCCTGCAGCGCCGCCATTCCATTGCCTGTGGCGCCCACGGGAGCATCGTTGTCACTGATGTTAAACAAGACGCCTTCGGAGCTGGCCGACGACACCACACTTGTCAATTTGCGGGTCAAGCCGCCGTAATACCTCTCGAATTCCTTCATTTCGTCCACCAAGCGTGAGTCGAGATCGGTCCATAGCTCGTTGACGTTCCGTTTGTCGACGTCAGTGACCAGGAGACCGAGAGCAAAGGCCACTGCTAGTAGAACACCAAGTCCACCGACCAACGCCGTGAATCGCACAACCAAGTTGGCATAGCCCGTAAACAGCCGATCGGCGAAATTGTTGAAGTGCTGCCTGACGGATCCCATATCGCCGAATGTTTGCTGCACGCACTACACCGTGCACCGGCGACCAGAAGCTCTGCTGCAGACTTCAGTGCTGTGTTCGTCACGCTGTGGTCTAAACTGAAAGGAAACCGTCGACCGTGGAGACAAACGCTGTCCGCGAGACCGGCTGTCGTTGGCTCGGTCAAATGAGCACCTCGGGCTCAGGATTCGCGCGAAGCTCTCGGTACTTTTTTTGCAGGTTAGGAATGTGTGCTGAGCTGAGACGCACAGTGCTGCGGCATCCGTTCACACTGACGCTAACAGACACTAAGCAATCGTGTAGAAGTAGATCTACGCCTGGACTGTGCTTCAGTGAAGACGACGTCCGTAAGTAACATTAGTTACAGGTGATCTAGCGCTTCGCTGCGCTAGCTAGTACTAGTACTAGGGGCAAACAGTCGAAAAGGTCACAACTAACTAACCTTGCGCTACGACTGCGAGCGACATAACACTAGTATTTCAAGAAATAAGTAGCAGTACTAGCACTTATCACCACTCTTTCTCTGCACCGTATACGCATAGATCTACGCGCGCAGTGCACATCGACGCTGCATGCAGTGCCTGTACTGTGCGTGCGCGTGCATGACTTTGGTGTTGTGGATCTTGGAGTCAAGTACTAGTAGCTCTATCTCTAGCTCTGGCTCTACACTACAATACACTACCGACTACAGACAGTACAGAGCTAGCTCTGCGCTCGGGGGAGGAATGCTGGAAGAAAATGCGAATCGAAGAAAATAGACTGTGTACCACGCACGGTGTACTGATGGCGCCACTCCACGAGTAGTAGGTCTACTACTAGTACTAGTACTACTAGTACTAGTAGAACAGCATACAGTTGTGTCAACAGTGGTCAATGTGGGAGTTGCTGTGTTTGATAACCATGATGATGATGATCACAGTGATGAAACACTGCTCTATCTCGATCTACGGCATGCACGGTGGGCAGGTCAGGGGGATTTTTCCTGTAGTTTTGGGGTATGGTCCTCGACTCCTCCATCAATCATGTAGAGTATAGCAATCTTTGACTTTGTCGTGGCAGCTGTCAGTTTTCATATCGATTTTGAATCAAGAACAGCCATGGCCCGGTGCAGATATCATGCATACAGTCTTGTACAATGTCACGTAAAAGTAAAGACAGTTCGCACGTATACATCATGACATTGTAACTCTGAGCAAAAAGGATGGGGTGAGGCTGGATCATGGATGGTCATGATGCATGTCAATGTGCCATGTCGACGCGCGCGTCGCTTCCGTGCATCATGTGCATGGCGTGTCCTTGGGCGTGGCTTTACACTCTACTCACTGAGTCACTGTCGGTAAATCTACCTCAGCTCAGTAACCAGACTGTCTGCCAGCCTAGCCAAGTAGACCCAACGTTCTCAGGTAGATGGGCCTACACAACACTACAGTTACTTATTAGTATATTACATCTCCTGGCTCGTCAGAAGACTGCCAATATTATGAGAAGTCGGGTGGTAGCCAACCACTTCCAAGTCATGTACAATGACATGCACACCGTACAGTCATATACATGTACACGTACATGTCATGTAGATCTACATTGTACATGATTGTACAAGTCATGTAGGAACACTACTTTTTTGATTTACACAAAGAGAAAGACCAAGGAACTACAAGTTACGTTCCTTGGTCTTTCTCTTTTGTATAAATTAAACCTTGGCTCTCCATCTGAGTACACTACTTTTTTGGTTTGGGTTTGAAATTCTTTATTTTACACATGCATTTTTCTGATGAGTGACTACAGTGCTGGCAAACTGAAATCCGACCCCCTGAGCAGTGGGTTCACATTCTAGCGGTCTCTGTTTCGTAGTTTTACCATCCCGTGTTGGGTCTTTGCGATGTGAGCGCACCGCTCAGGGGGCCGGATTTCAGTTGCCAGCACTGTGTACTTCAAGAAGTAGTATAATTATAGTACTACCATGTAGGTTTGCGTTAAGTCTTTGCACACAGTTGTAGTGGGCACCATTTTTGCCGTCTGTCGCCGGAATTTCTTGGAAATGGAAGCTCGAGTCGAATGGACAAGTACAATCATCTGATCATGTACATGTACATGTACCGGTACATGTCTCGCGATGGGTTACAAATAGCACGGATACACTGTCAGTCATCATGACGACTGTCTAACTCTAGACAGTGTAGTGGTGACCTGGCGAGCGCACGCCAGTACAGTGTGAACTGCAAATCATAACTAGATCCACTACAATGATTATGTGCATGGTTGTACATGTCTGAGGCAGGGAATCACATCGGAGCTTTACGCCTTTCTTGTGCACGCAGCGCCTTGGGCTAGTCTCCACATGATCTCACCAGCCATCGGACCGGACCGGGCCCAGCGCCTTGCCACCGGCCGCCACCTCCGTGTGGTCGAAACCTGGGCACCTTCCTACTACTACTAGACTGTCTAAGCTAACATAGTATTAAAAAGTAAGTTACGTAACAATGCACATGGAACGTCGCTGGAAAGGGAAGTGACCGAAAGAACTGAAAATGGATAATGCCCATGCGTACATTGTACATACCGTCAGTGGTATACGCGGAGCGTAGCACGCTCACGCCCGGCCTAGTGCTTCGCACCTTCACGGGACGCCGCACGGAATGAGTGATGTGTGACAATTGTGTGAATGTGTGAACACGCACGAAACACGCGCGAAACTGTAACCCTTTTGTACTCCTTTGTGATCCTTTCTAATCCGTTGTGAAGTACCTCCGAAGTCACTGGGTATAATCTGGGAGACGAAGGCGGAACTTGCCATGGATCTACGAAGGAGGGGCGATGACTAATCACACGAAACTACAAGTACGGGCATAATGGGCGAAGATATCACTTGCCTTCTCTATCGTTTGGGGTCTCTTCAAAGCACCACCTCCACTTTACGCTCAACTGACACTTGAGTCTTGAATGTGAGTGTCATGAGGAGCAGCTCTTCTACTTTGGAACTACAACTTGTACAAGCATGTACATGTGCATGACTATTGTACTAATCTTGTAGGTTACACCACATCCATGGTATATGTACAACTGCAAGCAGCCCAGTGCAGTATTAGTACTATTTTATAATAATATCTGTAGCCTTAGCTTTTACTGGGCATTAGACAAGCAGCTAGACTGTGGAGGGCTGTCAGTTGTGTAACTAATGATTATGTGTTGGATACGAACATACATGTAGTTGCTCAGTTGCTCGTCCTCTGTTACATTACTTCAAGCTGCAAGCACATGCACATTGTTGTAGGACAGTAAAACCTGTCTAAAGGCTAAGGACGACCGCTCAAAATGGACCTTCAAACTAAATCAAAGCGTTGTCTCTGTTAGTGCCATAATGGCACCAACAGTATTGTAACTAATTCATGTACATGTACATTGTACATTACTTGATCTACACATGACTGATCATGTACACCGTGTATACCGGTATGTACACCGTGTACATGTACATGTACTGGATATGCCATGGCTGTGCAGAGTAGTGTCTAGTGACTGTGTGTCATGTGTAGCGTCCAAACGGACCAAAGACGGTGCCCATTTCCTACCTAATTGTAGCGCATGGTAGAAATGGAAAATAGAAGCCACAGTATTTAAAAGGAGAGAAAAACAGTGCATGCGTCATATCAGCTCAATAGTAGCATTTCGATGCTACAGTACAGCAGCAGAGAGGCAGATTGACAAGACCAACAACAAAATACTGTAGAAAACGCGTACATGTACCATCATGTAGATGTACACTGTCATGTAGATGGCTTCCTGAACTGGAGTCGGAGAAGGAATAAGAAAGGCCCAGCGCATGTACTATGACTTATGAAGTTATGACTCTATGTAGCCTGTTCCAACTACAGTCATAATCATTGTACAGTCATACTGCAGTACTGGCTGTAACTAATGCTTACATGTACATGTAAGCATGGCCCATCATGAAAGAGTATCATTCCTTTCCTGACCATCACTCATCAGTGTATGTACCTCAGTGGGCCGGAAAACGTGCGCGGATAATGAAGTGGCAGAGCTGTGCAGCACGATTATTGCAAGAAGACTCGGAACCGTTCGGAAGTGGTACTCACCTGAGCGCCAATAAATAGCACCTAGTGGAACTTCAGTATGTAGTACCCAGGATGCATGTATAACAATAACATACTTTTTTTCTCTTTGTATCGCATACACCCTGTATTTTTTAGTTTTCACTAGTTTTAGGTCGCTTGCGCCCCCCCCCCCCCCTGCCCCTTTCCTACTCATTTGGCCTCCGAATGCCTCAATGTCTTGAACATTAATTAACTCCCTTCTAAGTATGGACTCGGATGGAGAGCCAAGGATAAATTTATAGGAAAGAAAAAGACCAAGAAGTGCGCATCCAAGATGTGCTACTTGTACAATGTAACATCTGATTGGCAGTTACATGTACATGTACATGTAGTTGTAGAACAGCAGTACCGTTGGTTATGATGTCAGTTCCTATATTACCTGTATGTTATCGCATGAGCTGATTGTCAAGTAACTGGTGGTGTTAGTGGACATTATAGCATAACTTGTACAATCATGTACGTGTAGGTCCTTGGTCCTTTTCTTTCCCTTCTACATTGTATTAAAGTTCTAATGAAGATCACGTGTTTGTGTGTATACAATGTAAATGGCAAGTCTGAGCAGATGCATTGGTTCCAGTTCTCATTCACAAAATACATACCGGATGCTGGATACCGCAATCAAAATCAAGTGCACTTAGCCTTACCAAGAGCACATGTAAATACGCTCCTTTACTCTTGGCCTTCCGATTCATCCCAAGCTGTTCGGCGTCGAGCTTCATGCCTGACACGAACCGAATATCAATCCAAAATAATGCGTACCTTTCACCCTGCTGAAGTGCCATGCTCCAAGGACTTAGGTGAAATGAAAATGATTATGATTGTAGTAATGTACAGTCAGGTTTTCGCAGCGGAGAGACTCAGCCAATCATGTCACCATGCGTAATCTTATGACTAAATAACTGTTTTTACTTTGAGCAATGCCATCGGCCCATCGGCGGGCCATCGCCTCACAGTCCTACTGTGACATACAAATGTACATGTACATGACATGTCCATGTATGTCACCTAAAGTGCTTACTTCAAGTATCCTTTACATGCAGAGTTGGCTGTCCGTATGACACTCCGAAGGCTGCAGGCAACTGATCACGAGAAAACAGAAAGAGAGTTCCTCTTTTTCCATCCGCAGAGGACACACTAGTAAAGGCTGAATCTGGCTATTAGTATTAAAGACGATTCGCACAAGAAAAAGATTACGACTCTGTGACTCCACTGACCGCCGGCAAGGCATGCACTGCATTCTATTGTTGTTGACTTGATGTTCCAAATTAATCTAATAACAATGAACAGTCCTTGGCTACACCACGCGCGCACAGCGATTGTGACCAAATGTTCACCCAGGGGGGCATCATCAGGGGGTT